GGGGGGCGATTCCTGATAACTTGAACTTCGGATAACTCGAAACGATTTGCCCGGTCCCTAAAAGTTCGAGTTAACGAGTTTTCACTGTATATATATATATTTTTACATGAAATTAAGCGTAAAATAAAAACTTAATCAAATTATCGATTGAAAATATAATCAAAATTCAATAAAAGCATGCAGCTTCATTTGTTTTGCTAGCAATTCAGCCTTAATTTTCCATCAAATGCTTCTCCACATTTCGGAGCTACTTTCCAAAATCTTTGTGGCGAAAACCTGGAAAATATAGCTGGGGTAAGCATTTCTACAAATCGCTCGCTCTTCAAAAGTTCACAAACCGCAAGATTCCCTCACTTTCATCCCCTTTAGATACCCGAAGAAACGCTATTAACACATCGTGAACTCTGTGGTAAAGCTGACAGGTGTTATTTGAAAAAAGTTCATGGATGATTATGAAAATACCTGGAAGTAGGAGGTGCCAAGTGGCACCATTGGGCATGGAAGAGTTAAAACGATTTCCCACCTATTCCAGTCACTACATCTCGGCGATTCCACCAGACGGTGAAATCTCTCCGACCGAACAGAAGAGGTTCGCTCCACGCCCCATCTTTGTAGTTCAACTGTATCCAGCGTCCTGGGAAGGATGACTACAGCAGTGGCGGATCCAATGGGCAATGGGGGGCAATGAGGTAAACGTCCCCCCCCCCCTCCCCTCATGTACAGAATAATGTCTGCATCTGCCACTGGTGCAGAGAGCGTCGAGGCTTCCCGTTGACGCGTGGGAGTGTGTCCTCGATTTCGTCAAATGGGTCGCGGAGAGAAGTCGTGTCGAAATCGAACGTTTGGATTCCCAAAAATAAGTTTCCAAGTTTCAAGTTTTTCAAAACAAGAATAGGCGGATTCTGATTCCCCCCCGTTCCGGCTAACATACCCTCGTACATCGGTGGAGTGTACATTCATGTGCGATATATTTATTTTCTCTTTTCAAATATTTTTGTAACGTTCATGAGCCGAGATCCTACCACTGAAAACAGTAAATTAAGGCGGGAAAAACTAGATTGGTTGGGATAAGTCACCAGAATCAACAATCGCAAAAATTGATATCTTTCCCACCTCGGGGTCGTGGTGTTCGAAAAAGCGAACTCATTTCAGGCGAGGCATGAAAAAAATGAAACTCGGGGCAGGTCCAAGACGTCACGATTTATTTAGAGAAGAGGATGGGCGGACATTTCCCAACTATCACAAAGGAGAGAAGCCATCAGGTTAAACGCTAAGGGTACACGTAGATGAAGGAATGGCACAGGTCCCAAATACTGCACGGTCGTTGCAAATTCCATTGCATGATGGCAGTGGTGAAACATCAATGTGAGGCACAAGGGAAGGGGAAGAGCGAGAGGGTTTCCTAAGATCGTCTCATGGCTCTTGTCATGGTGATGTCATGTTGTCATGGTCGTGGCAAGTCTGAAACTCCATTGACAAACCAAATTGGAAACCACACAACGAAAACGATGGTACGATCAAGCATGCAAAGGACACTTTGTCGGTCTCACAGCTTGTAACTGCTGCCATTTGTGCAATCACAACTGCGAGGCATCGAAAGCATTTTCCCGTCCGTTCGTGCAGATGTGAAGTATACTCACAGGAAAAAATAAAGAAAAGGCATACATGTCAAAACTCTGAGATTCAACTAACAGACAAAAGAATTAGCCCGTTGAGAGTATTTCCCAATCACATTTCACGCATGATAGAAATCGCTGACAATACAGTCCCATTTGAAACTTTTTATTTCAAGAACAGAATTATGGAGCCAATCTACAAGATCAAGGATTTCACTGACAAAATGAGGTACTTCTCAGCTCTACTCATCAAAAGCATTAATAGCAGAGAGCTTCTGAGATGAGTAAATTGCAATTGCACCCTTCTAAAATTAGAATCTCAGAATGGAATGACATCACAAGCATATTGAGCAATTGTCATTCCATCCTATTAATTCAGTTGACAAGCAAGTTTAGTGATTGATGGCACATGGAAATACTTCTTAAAGCAAATGTATTTCAAGTTGAAATTTTGGTTTTTCCTGATATCCATAAAAAAGTGAATTCAGCTGAAACTTCAAGTGATGGCCCATTTGTTAAAAAAAAAGAGCTGAAAGATATACAATTGGTTCTATGTATATCAACGGTTCATGGCAATTATTAGATTATTAACAACATTATTAACAATGATCAGATTATTAACAATAAGGCTAAGCCTAATTTTGCAGTCTCAACAAAGATATCCTTGAAATGGATAAGAAATGAGCCTGAATGAGCTTCCACAGGAAATCTACAGCAAATGCCTGTCTTTTGTCCCTCTACAGAAATCCTCAATTAGAATGCAAACTCGTAAATGTGTACTTGGCATACACTTGGAGGAAAGTGTGTAAAGGAACCAGAAAGGTTTCATGATGGGCAAAGCTTGAATTAGTACCTACAATAAGGTCCATAGGCTTGTAATGTCAGTTTTCTGATAAAAGAGGAATTGAAGTGTCCATGAAACAGCAGATACAAAATTTTTCCTCATGCCACATAGAAAGACTTTCCCAGCACATTGCTTGATATTAAATACCAGTGGGATATTGAGGAGTACATGATTTGATCAGTGTTGTTGTCTTCTTGAGAACCTCCACCTCAGGAAACCAAGGGAATAATAAATAATGGCAGAGACATGAGAATAAATATGGTGAGAAAAGGAAAATATCAACAGTGAGATTCGAATAAATGCCCAGACTTGCTACCAGCATGCTCCAATCAATTGATACAAATACCAAAAACATGAATACATGACATAACCATAAAATGATGCCCATGTTTCCATGGAATGGCAAGAACATGTAAAACAGTTCTAGAACTGAGTTGCAATATATGAGGTCTGGTGAGTAATATCTATGAACAAGGTTAATTGCAGCAGGCCTACATTTGTAGGTGGGAAAAACATCAGTATTTATTATACATTTTTGGTTTGAAATTTGTCAGTCAAATTTCTTCAAAGGAAAATATTGAATTCCAAACAAGAGTCACTAAATTTAGTCATTTATGGCTAAATGAAACACTGTATGTAGCATGTTGTCACAAGGCAGGACTTTAGAAATGGAGATGATTTATCTATTGGAACACCCTGATCATTAGCCAATTTTTCACACTAACTTGATACAAGCCAAGAATAGCAAAAGTGCATCAAGTCCTTCCTATCTTGTAGAAGCTAGTGGCACAGGAATACTGATGAGTGTATTTACCACTCCTTACCAATACAAATCTGCTGTCCCTAGCTTCCCATGTGAAATAAATCAAAAGACCAGTCCACCTAGGCCTTTTTGCCTAACTTTGCATAACTCTCACAAAATAGACTAAAAGCCTACCAAAATTGCTTTACAGACTGGACACTCATAAGCTTTCATTCATCATGCTCACAATTGCAGGCTTAATCACTTATTTCAGGATTTCTGCTCCTTTGGGAAGCAGAATGGCAGAAATACTGTAACATGGCACAATCTCATCATCATGTACGTCAATTTCCTTTTAAAAGACTGTTTTTTTCAGAAAAGGTGATCTATAATTGTCCTTTTGGCGAGTCTTCTTGTTCCTCCTAGAATCTTACAGAATTTTCAAAGGGTATAGAAACAAAACGTCATTTAAAAGACATTTGAGAGACACAACACTTGGAGACAACATGGAGTCTCACATGTTTGATTCATGTTTACATGTACAGGTACCAGAGGTCAAGTTGATAGATAAATTATGAAACTAGCAACTTTTAACAAGTTGTGAGACTTTATGAAGGAGATTGAATAAATCAAAGACAACAGCAATCCCAAAATATCCCATAATCGTACTGCATGCACTATTTAGACTCTACCTCATAAAAACCTTGTAATATTCAAGTGGGAAAACAGCTAAGCATTGACAAGAACCATCAACTTAAAAGAATCTGGAAAGTTCAACAATAAGAATTAGCTCAACCAGCAAGCTCTATCCTCAAAAGATGAAACAAGACAACAAAAAAAGAGGTTGGATTCCAAACAACATTTCAACATGAAGATTCCGAGTTGAGTCCATTGGGGGTACTGCTATCAAGGTTCTCCAAGCTAGAAGACAGCTTACAGGCTTGAAGACTTGGTCGAATGTCCTTGTTCCCAGAACGCAAGGGTCTCATGGTCTGGAAACGACGAGGGATCTTTGGCTCCCTTCTCAATGTGTTGCAGGCAATCAGTGTGGATAGGGACCTTCGAACACCCTTTCCAGATGATGGCAATCCTATATGAGTACACATGACATGCAAAAATTAGCTAAGACACTAACAACCTCAGAGGAGAATGGAGTAAACCTGTGGGGGGCTCACTTAGTGTTTGGGTACGCTTCTCCCTATCCTCGAGAAACTTTTGCTCCTTCTTCTTCTGAAGGCTTACTTTGCGGGCCATGATTGCACTTCTTAAGACCCCTGGTCTGCTTGCCTCCATCTGGGACTCCATGGCTATCTCCTCAAAAAACCCTTGGCAAACAAAGAAATGATAGCCAATATACCAATAATGCACAGTACCTTTTTAGACATCTGTATTGGAATCTTTGGCTCACTTCTCAACTCCCTGACATTTGGCATAATTTCTTCTTTGATGGTATCACTTAGGGTAGTGGCTCGGAGGGATTTCTCAAGGGAAGACAGGGATTGTAGAGCAGAACCCAGTCGCTTCTCTGCTTCCAGTCGTGCTGCAACTTCTTCTCGCAGCTCTGCCTCTGTTGCACTCTGCTGCACCACCAAATCCTACATGACAGAAGGACACATTTGTTAAGCTCTATTTAAATTCAAAAGGAGACAAAAGGACAAAATGACTCATTCACTGAAAAGATCATTCTCTTCAGAGAATAAACCCACATTGATTGAAGAAAGGAGTTCATCAGACTGTTGGCAGATGACAGACTTCTCCTCCTCCAGAAGTTTAGCTCGTAGCTCATTTTCAACAAATCTGAAGAAATTAAGACAGGAGATAAAGTCATGCAAAGTAGTGGAAAGTGAAAATCAAGACATATATAAATGCCTACAAGGGCACTCTAACAATATGTCACACTGATATTTATAGCAGACTTTATGTCACTGACAGTAGATAGTATGAATGACCAGTCACAAAAACAATCACAAATAGTATACATTGTAGTTCCAATTTTTAATTGAATTGCCAGTCCTGACTGGTCAAGTAGAGGAATGCCACATTTGTCATTATGGCAAACCAATTAGACAGAGGCAACGGGATCCATAATCTGGTCCCCTGAAATCTGTTATTACATCACATAGAGTAATGAAGCATGGCAATTCAGTTGAAGGTAGATACAATGCATCGGTCAGTCTTTCAAGCATTACTGTAGAAAAAGACATCTGAAGGTTGCAAGTCCCATATTGTCAGTCTTTCCATACCTCCCGTACCCAAAGGGATAAACAGGGTGTCCCAAAAGTAACTAAAGTAAACTAAAAATTTATATATCTGGTAATAGAGGCTGGAATGCTCCAAAATTTGGTTGGCTTATACAGGGAATATGAAAGGTCTTTTTGTATGGAGGATTAGTAGATTGGTCAAGTAATTTTAGCAAAACCTTAATTTCTGTGAAATATGCACAAATTAAGATAATAGCAACAGCACAATATCCTCAATCTTGAACTTGGACACCATTGATGTAAACTCAGGAAGCCCCATTTTTAATGAGGCTTACACTTCTCCCTCATGGGTCTCAAGAGGAATTTTTCAAATATCTCCTGGTTGCAAGTATAACAACTTTGTAACCAACTGCAATGTTGAAAAAACCGGCAGCAACAAATCAATGGGTCCTAATAAAATTATTGAGGAAGCCTTGAGAAAGCACTGAAACATTTGATACAAGGAGCCTTTACTCAATAAGAAAGCACAAAAACCATACTTCAATGAACAACTGGGTAATAACTTAACTTTGACAAGAAAGATCATCTAGAAAGGTCTACGATTTCTGTCAGCTCCCTACAGATATCTACTTCCAACAGCTTCTTGTGATGACATTGACAGACATCAAGTCACTGAGGACAGGTTGTGCTAAGCTACTCAATATTTTCCACATAAGGACTCCTTCTCCATTCATCCTCCCCATTCCTTAGAGTCATCCTAGCTCATCTGTTGTTAGAACTGAAGTGTTAGCTGATACAGAGACATCCAGCAATGAGGTTTAACACTTTCATTCTGATAATTTGAATACATTATGGAAATAGGATGACATATTATGGGTATAAGGCTTAAACTACTAAGGGGTAAGTCATGCAGTCATGAAAGCATTACAAAAATACTTTATCAGCCTTCACCAGGAAGTTCAATTTTCTGGACTTTCATTGGACTTGTTTCAAAGTAATTAAGTCTTGCATGTTGAAGAGTTTGGTGAGCATCAGGACAATGAAAGCTAAACTCTGTAAGAATACATTAACCATACAGCACCTTTGTTGAATGTCAGACTTCTCCCTCAGCAGTAGCTGTGTTTCTTCTTCGATGATATGAAGGCAAGATTGAAGATCACGGGTTGCTTCATGTAACCGACTCTTTTCATCCTCTGATGCCTTGAGGTCCTCCAGAATTCGTTCTCTCTCCTGAGCCAGCTCCTCAAGACTTTCCTTTTCAACATAGAAGTGATTCACAATGAAAAACAGAAATAATGAAGAAATGCAGCTGCTTAACCCCTAGACTCTCACACCCAAGTATACTTGTGTGAACACAACCTCTAAAAATGGAAACTCAACAGTCAAGAGGTTAATTGTCACAGAATCAATGAAAATGAGACATCCATCTCTACATTTCTCTGCTCAGTGTGCCTATGGAAAGATATATATGTTCACGAAAACTAATTCATGGAAGATGTTGCAAGGGTACTTGATTGCAGTTGATAACAGTTGGCTGGGCATTCTATTCTAATACAACAGACATCAATGGCACAGATCATTCCTGGAAATCCAGCAATATCAAATAATTGTCTTCAAACAACTACTCTATTTTCCTTCCTGGGAATTTAATGAGTGATGCAGATGAGCAATGGCCTGCACCATTCCATTCCTAGGAATTGATGCCACATAAAATTGAAGGGTCAGCAAAACATGCCAGTTGAAAGGCTTTTGTAAAACTCTTTACTTTCAGGTCATACTAATTAATTACTCAGGGAATGGGTACATGAATAAATCATGATTCATTGCACACGACCCTGTAATTGTTCTTATATGTTGATGTAAAGTTACAGGATCCCTTCTGCTATTTTTGTTTTTTTGAGTTCAGTGCAAAGTAAGTTGACTTCATTCACTGATCCCTTTCCAAACAGTATCTCAAGTGGAGCTTCTCATCTACATATTCTTCAGAGGGATTGAACCTAGAACCGATGATTACTTGTCCCATGCGACAAGAGCACACCTTAAGGATAATCCATTGTGCTTTACAAGTACACCACAGTGCTATACTGATTGAGATAGTACATGAGCACTGGCATAAATATCAGCAAAATGTGTTCCATAGTCTGGAAATGAAACCTTTATTCAGCTTCTGTCAGCAGATGGTTAGACAATGATTAAAGGAAGACAGCATTCGTGTAATCCATTTTTTGCCTTAAACATAGGTTAAACAATGAATTTCGAAAAACACAGGGAAAATATCACTCATGCAATTAGCCCCTAGTTTTTGTTGTTCGATAGAGAATTGAAATCTGTGAAGGAAAGATAAATTTTATATGATTTGGTTGATTTGTTGCAAAGTTATGGATATTTTCCTGTTTTTTACTCTTTTATTCAACCACAATGAAAAAACATCAGTTTAATAATCAGTATGACCTCCATCTGCTGCCAGAACTGCCTGAATAATTCCTGATTCAGCATTGAAAAAGGAAGACTTCTGAAGAGTTCAGTGTCCTCTTCAAGTTTATTAAGAACATCAGTGAGATTGTTCAAAAGTGAAGATTCAGAATAACAACCAGGTCCATGTTCATGATACATACTTTCTTCCATATGGTTTTAGATGATATCGCCCAAATTTTCCATTGGGTTAAGACCAGGCAAGTTACCAGATCACAATTGGTTACTCCAAAATAGAATTCCCAAATTTCTCATGAGATTTGGAATTGCACTGCTCGGCAATGAGTTGAATGCATCTCTATACATGTTTAAACATTAATGCAGTACTGCATGCATGCGTGTCTCAGCAGAGTCAGGGAAACAAAAAAGAATACTGGAAATTTGAAACAAATCAACCAAAATAGATTATTCTTAGTTTCCAATTGCAGATTATATTACTCAATTGAACAAGAGAGACCAGAACTTTCTATTGGGAAACCTGCTTCTCAATCCAGGCACATCATTTCATGTCACCCTGTATGTTGCTTGAATTTTACTTTTGCCTACTGCAAGTTCTAAAGCAAATAAAACTCTATATAGGGTAAACACCCCAGTTTTTGGCCTCGCTGATATAACTCTCATAGGAAGTGGACACCCTGTGCACACACCAGGAAGCACTGGTAATAGGTCCTCATATGGGAAGATGTTGATAGAATGCTTGAAAATGGTCAGATTAACTAATTATGCTGGATTTAAGCCACACTGGCCAACAACTGGAGACTGGCCAGAAACCAGGGTGCTTACCCTATATATTACTTACATTACTTGAGTGACAAATCTCAAAGCAGGGGTACACACAGCAGGTGCTTTAGCACTGTCAGTTAACTAACCATGATAGCAGTGAAGGGGTTAAGATGAAAATAACTCAAGCTTAAGCACTTGCTAAGGATTCACTCATACTCAATTTTTCCTTGTTGTTTCATGATATCAATTGCTAGTCCTGTTACTGATGAAGCTGACTAATACAAACAACTGAAAGTAAGAAGAGTACCATAGGTAGTTAAACACATGATTATACACTATTGCTTGTTTGGCTAAAGGGAGACTGAAAGTATAAAAGAAAAAATCTCAAAAGCTGTAGTTCTAATAAAGTCTAAGTATGCCCAAGACAAAATTCTTGTCCCTTTTTTTTATAAGCTAAAAAGGTGGAAAGACTTGTGCTATGACATCACATCTCAGGCTGACATTTTGCCTCAATGGTAATGATGTATATTAACTAATTCTGCACACTAATGACCACCTTCTCTCTAGATAAGATCAGTACAGAGGTCAATATTTTCTAAACTATCACCATTTGGTCACATGAACTTAATAAAGCTACCCAGGCTGGAAGTGTTGTCAATTTCATCCCTCTACTTCTTGGCAACAAAAACACAAAAAAACAATTACTTGTCACTCAGGAGTAAATGCAATTCATACAAAAGAAAGAAATAAACTAAGCTCCAGGGAAAAATACCTGAAGGAATTCAGTGGTTGATTGAAGGGCTGTCCGGTCTTCCTCAACAAGATGGATAGCAGTGAGAGTATCTTTGTAGTCTCCTTGCAAACGTATATGCTCCCTTTGCAACTGGTCAATTGCTGCCTCCAGTTTCTTCTTCTCGGAATTCAAGGCTGCATTCAATTTCTCCAGCTCCTGTTATTTAAACCAGAAGAAAATTTTTCATGCAGGTAGGCTGAATATCATTGCTGACAAGAAGTTGTGTTGTATGTTGTCTGTAAGCTAATTCTTATTACTTAATATTTACAAGAGCTTTTCTTACCAGATTTTTGTCCAACTCCTCCTGCAGGTTCTGAGATTCTTTCTGCAGTCTCTCTGGTAAAAATAAAAGGAAGATAGAAATAAATTCACATTAGTTTAGCATTTACATTATAATGGGTTCATGACACCCTAAAAAAAAGAATTTTTCCACCAAAAGTGCAAATTGTGCAGACATTTTTCTGCAGAAGATGCTTTTTTTTGTATTTGCCAAATGTGACATCTCAATTTTTGCTAATTGTTTTTTTTAATGAAAAGTCTTAATTCTTTTCAGAATTTGATACGGGAGATAGTTGTTCAATGCCTGCGTGTAAGAGCTACAATCTCAACTTACTCTGGTAATAATATTGATTTCATTTCAATGGCTCATGTTGGGGCACAATGGGTCATAACTCAGGGCACCAAATGTTTCCTGATAGTTGCCAATGCAGATCAGGATTTTCTTCACAGTCTTTTTTCAATATAATCATGTGCAATTAGAAGCAAAAGAATGAAAGGTTCAACACCAGCAGGTGTGATGTTCCTGGACATTAAACAAATTGTATATCATTTTCTGATTAAAGGTTCCTAATTTTTCCAGATAACTTTGGTGAAGTGCATCAGTACCCAAGAGCTTCTCCTATGGTGCAAAGACTTATTTGTGTGATGACTTTGGGTCAACTGAAGTTCATTTTAGCCATGACTATGGGGATGACTCATTATACCCCGGATGCTGACCCATGGTGCCTCTTTTTAAAATACTCCTTCATTGCATGAAACTTGCAGGCTGATGACTTTGAAACATGGGATTGCGCAGTAGATGTGAGTCTTTATATGCATGGCCTTCCACTGCTTCAGAGGAATAAAAATGCTTGAGTTGCAGGTCCACAAAAAAGTGGCCCATGGTGCCCCAACCTCCCCTATATAAACAGGTGAAAATTTGAATGGAAATATGCTCATGCACAGGTGAGTCAGACTGATGAATCTTGCATCAATTCCTCTATATATTTCTCACAAATTTGTGATATAAGGTGGCACAATAATGTACCTTGCTAGCACTAGAGCATATGACCAACTCAAGAACAGGACAAGCTTCCAACTTTGCAAATTTGGAGCCTACATTGTTTATCGAGGGCATGCAAGTCCATAAGGACATTATGGATATGCCATCTCTTAGCAAGGTATGCAATTTACATCACCCCATACATTTGATTCTAAAGCTCATTGTAAATTCCTTAGAGTCAAAATTAATGTCTACAAAATTCATTAAATGACTAAACTCACAATGTGTTACAAATGCTTATGAAACTTGCAGCGTTTGCTCAAACAGTTCCAATATACTTGGAAATGCAATTTCAGGAATGTAGCTGTAACCAGGAGAGGCCAAAATAGTCCTGTTGCTCCTTCCAGTAAAAGTCATTCACCCTTGGTTGAGTGTCATAGTGCTTCACTAGGTTTGCTCTGAATATGAATTGTATCATGTTGGATGCTTAAAAAATTTAAAAACAGCACAATGAGCCTAGTCATCAAAACCTTAAAAAAAAAAAATTTAATTGAAACATTGTTTCTTGCTACAATATGCTCAATGGCAATTGCTAAACAATGCTATATTATAACTTTACTTCTAATTTCCCATTTCTTTAATATTCCAGCTTATGAAAGCAATGAATCCAATAATAAAATAAGAAGCTACCTTGACTAAAACAAAAAGAGATTTAGCTTAGTTTGCTACTATATGCTTGTCCACATTTGGATATTTCTAATTCTTTTTTAACAAAGATTGGAACATAATATTGATGAACCTCTTCCAACAAACTATTACATGTTTACTGCCAGCACGAAGCATGCCATTTTACTGGATTTTCATCCCTGGTAATACTTATATGGTCATGCTGTGAGATCTTGTATTTCTGCAAGGCTCTTACAGCCCAAACATGCAAAATGCATAGAAGGTCAACAGTCAGGTCTCCCTCCAGTGGTTCATAGAATAATTTCTAAAAGGGACTATGCATCCCTCTATTTTTAGTACAGGATAACTGAGTCAGGGAAGAGACAGAGTCATAACACTAATTTTGAAGAAACATAATTTTCTTTTGTCTTGTATGCTGATGGAAGAGCCTGAGAAACATACCAACATAGGTCTGCTTTTCCTGGTTCAACTGTAAGCCTTGAGTCTCCAACTCCCTCATTAATGACTCAGCCAATTGGGAGTTGTTCCAAGTGCTATAATGGATGAACAAAGATGTCAGATGACTGCTCAAGTGTATTAATTAAAAAATGCATTTCTGAAATCACCACTGTATTCATGAGTTTACTGCATCTCCTACATCATGCCTGCCCCCTCCCCTCTTTCCTGATATCACTGAAAATCTCAGTATGAAACAATCATTACACCTAAAGAGAATTACAAAAATGTCCCAGTTTCCTTTCATTTATCACATGATCTGTAGGTAAAATACATGGAGTCTGCTAAAAGAAATTGGAATAGAAGATAAAGTAATAGGAACAGTACTAGTAAAAAATGTAATGGGTAAGTTTTCAGGCATTGATCAACATGCTCAATATCACCCAGAAATCCTGTATTACCAAAAGAAAATCAAACACATATGGACTATGGCTATGGCTATACTTAATCCTTGCCTTTTAGCTGAGAATATATTTCTTTGCAACATGACAGTCTTCAGAGTAGCATGTATACGCATGTGCTCTGAAAGCCATTTAAACAAAAAAAATACATTCTCCATGTTCACAATCAATGAAGAAACTGTCTCATCTGTTTTCATGCCTCAAAATCCAAATTCAATTTCATAAGAAAAATTAAAAGAAATACACTGCATACAAGAGAGATGGGACCAATATAATTTGCAAGTTTGAAACAGATCTTTCTCACATTCGAGTTGCCTCCTTCAAAGCTTGAATCCATTTGTCCATTTCATTTTTTGTGGCAGCTGCTAGTGTTACTATGCTCTGCAAGAAATACAACCAACAGAAAACTTGAATGTGACATTCTAAATATTAAACCTCATATCCATATGGAGGATTGGATGCAACCTTCTGATACTCATCACTGGAGATTGTGATGACATAATCTTGCGAAGATGGTGGGTATATGCTAGATGCACCATGTATAATGCAACCACCAATTGGGATAACACCTCTTGGATGAATGTTGAAGTGACCTCTCTTCTCAAAGTTCTTCCTTTCCGATTCCCCGTAATACAGAAGGAAGCTATCCTTGACCACGAAATACCTGAGAAACCAACAAACCATTAGTGTACAATAGCATTGTCCAAATTCACATGTTGGCATAACTTGCTTGAAGCCCACCTAATTCACTTGTGACATCTCCTGCTTTCATGAGAAATGGGTCCCTAAATAATTTCTTCATAAAGTCACTTATTTTAAATAATGCCAAACAATTTGAATTCATTCTTTGCCTATAACTTCTAAACAAATTAAATGAATGTGCATGCTGAAAATTAGTGAAAATAAAATCTCTCCAAGAGCAAATCCCTCTTCTGTGGTAACACTAGATGACAGGCCAATTTGAGATATTGAAGATGTACTTAAGAAAGAAAGGAAAGGGAAAACTCACAAGTAGGAGTTTTTATTTATTTACTAACCTCTGAATAATAATTACAGTACCTCACAGTGTCTGGAAAGAGTAGCTTCTAAAACCTAGTTCTATCTTGAAACAGGGTCCAGTCTTCCTAATGGACTAAGGCAGCTCCTCCCTAAACTGGGTTGCAACTCATCTCATATTGAATTAACCCTAGTTTTCACAATGTGGATGCAAAGTAAAATACTGGGTTTTACAGAAAAATATCCTATTCAAAATGCTTACTTTTTTTAAATAAGCACTACATAGTATTGCTGGCAAAAAAAAAAAACATAAGCTTTTATCATTCAGACAGGTAGTTAGAGGATTAAAGAAGCAAAAAGGGATCCCTAAAAAAAATCTTTAAAGTATTTTCTGCAAGGGTCACTCCAAAAGTAATGCCTCCAGTTTTGTCAACTTCAAACTACTGGTGGCACCAGCTCAAAAATGCAGTGCAGACACTTTCAAATGCCCTCCCATTCCTCAAAAACTTTTGTGATTCCTACCCAGAAAGGTCTGCTACTGGGGCGATTCAAAACGGTGGAGTACAACAATGCCCATCACATGCAGAGGGCAGCAATTGAATTCCTTACAGGTAAAGGGGTACTACCAATACACATTCATCATCTCATGAAAGTTTCCTTTTAGAGTGATAGACATCAGACACATTGACATACACATGTCAATGTGAGTTCTGAGCATTGCTGGGTAAGTCATGTGAATCTTTACGAGATGATGAAGAAAGTCCATCGGCAGCACTCCATCAATTGGGCAGAAATCAATTCAATTGCTGCTCTTCGCTTGCTACTATCGGTGTCTTGGGCATTCGCTAAACAAAACCTGGCAACCTAAGAAGCCTTTGAATTCACTTTAGTACCAAGTCAGGTCAAAAATAAAATAAAGTGCACGGCAGTAACAAGGGCTGGAGAATTTCCTCCTTCCTCAAACTGGTAAGCCTCGAGTTAGGCCTATCCTGCAATATAAATTATATATATTTTTAATCTTAGCCTAGGCCTCGGCCTACCTCCTTTGCCATTTGTCTGCCTGACGTCTGAAGGATTTCTTCAAGAGGAATCCATGATGCTGAATTTTGGTGGCGATGCACAACTGCTCATTCGTACTCCCTTCTGATATCTGGTCACTCATGGTCAAGGAAGCCCGTGTAGGGCTACTTTCAGTCGGCTAACTACCTTGGATGCCTGCGTGACGACAGGAGAAGAAAAAGAAGCTTCAGATCAACCTTGATAACTGTGATTTTTCAATGTCCTTGGCCCTTGAACTAGTACCTTTGCAGGATTGCAGTGTGTTCGTGCAGGGCGCCATTGAACAGCGAGAGGTCTCACGGTTGCCGGAACTATCGCTTATGGGAGTGCTATTTTTTGTTGAAATGAAAGTACCGCTACAATTAGGTAAATTCTGTCATCTCATGTCTAAAAATGTATGCAAATGAAAAAAAAGAGAATGACCGTAATATACACCCTGTTCGACCATTGCATAGGTAATTAGAAGTTGAAGACAAGAATGCCCGCTCAACATGACTTAGCACATAAGGATTACCTATAACGTTAAAGAATTAGGGGTGTTCACCCTTGTTTACCAGTTATAAAAATAAATAAATACTTTAGGAAGTCTTCAGTACCTCGGAGAGCCAGTGGCGCGCCCGAGAGGGGTTATGGGGATCATCTCCCCCCCCCCCCCCCCCCCCCCCCCCCCCCCCCCCCCCCCCCCCCCNCCCCCCCCCCCCCCCCCCCCCCCCCCCCATGGGATACAATTTGCTGGTTCGATTCTCAAAAATGTTTCCATTTGGCCATAAATGCAGGGTGGGCTACAATTTTTCATACGTCAACTCCCTAATTGAGATTTTCTGAGCGGGCAGAGAGCTACTATCAAATATCTTGCCCCAGCATGCCTAATGAAGTTGATACTGTCCCAGAGAGCAAATACGTGTTGAACCATGTCTAACATATCATGCCAGCCTGGAATATGTAGGTTCGGGATTCGGAATAAAAAGCAACCCGAGATTAAACCACAAAAAAGATGCACAGCCTGCTTTTTAATATCTTAATTAAAATTGGATATGGGCGACACAGAACTGGGCTACGAAACCCTCCGAAGTGCCATTCTGGAATCGGAAAAAAGGAAACAACACAGCAATTCGAGCCCTGGTATGACAGGGAGTGTCGTCGAAAGCCTGTCGAAACCAAGAACCTCAATGTATGCTCTCTTCATTGACTTCAGCAAAGCTGTGGACGTTGTCAATAGGCCACGCTTAATGCGTAAATTACCACGTAATTCAAGACTTCGGCGTGAGGGGGCACCTCCTCCGTTTTATATACATTCGCTCCTCGAAACAAACCTGACCCAGATCGATGACCATCTTCGTCTCACACTTCCAATCCCACAAACGTAGGGGGTTCCCCAAGGAGACTCGCTAAGTCCTCAACTATTCATCATATACACATGCGATCTCATAAAGCAGCTCGAGTCGGATGCCACACTGACCTCCCACGAGCCTCCTCGTGCATGCCGACGACACGGTCATATACTCCCCACATCATGCTGCCATCCAAGCCTCACTCGACCCGCTAAAGAAATGGTCCTCGGCAAATTAAATCCGGGTCGAAACCTCAAAGACTCAAATAATGAGGCCACCTGGCGTCCACGGACGAATCCCTATACGATGGAACGCAATTACAGATTGAATACCTTGATGTCACCTTCGAAAGGCGGTTTTTCGATACATCTCGCCAAGAAAGTGGAAACCTGTGCAGCGACAACGTTCACCATCGAGAATCTCATAAATCTGTCCCTCAAAACAGCCTCGGCCCTCTTCGTCATCAAAATCGAGCCTGTCGCAACGTGAATTCTATCTGGTCTCACCTCGGCCTGCAGAACACACCCGACCGGATCGTTCACATCCTCGTGCAAGAAATGTCGTTCGCGGAAGACTGCCAGGAAACGTTCTCCCCGAAGACGTTGCACGCAAGAGAAGCGAAGTCGATCCCGACTTGTTCGAATCCCTGGCCATGACGGACCTGGACAAGGTTCACGGTTCTCATGGCACGGGTTTCATCGCCTCGTCTGTGCCGACAAGAAGCATCATGTCGTCGACATTACTTGCAAATTTTCTTTCTGCGGCCGTGAAGCCTCCTCTCTATCACCTCATGGACTGTCCCAAGAACTAAAAAAAAAGAACACTTAATTTTGTACATTTTGCGTATGGTTCTAACGCTATTGACCCTTGCAATCCGTGTTCTTTACATCAAATTTGTCTTTTGACATCGTGATTTATGCACGGGATATTGTGTTATCCAATAAATTAAACTACTGTTCGGACTAAGCAAATTGCCTTACATCCAATCGTGGCACATCAAATATATTCTCAGATAAAATGTCCGTCGATGTGTGTTTTTTTATTTATTTGTTTAAGCTCCTTGATCCTTTAATTCGAATTTTAAGAGGAAAAATACGAAAGAATTGTATTAATTTATGACCTTCAAATATTAAAGAAAGGGGAAAAAGAAGACAATCCACGAAACAGGTTTTAAAAGCCATTTTCATCGTGATTCTCTTCATGCGGGCACAACGAAGCGAAGAATCCGTTTCCCTCCCGCCGATGGTCTCAAAACGAAAAGCCTCGCCTCTAGAATACATTTCCCACGGTTCCCGGTCATTGCATCGCCGTTCCACCCCGGCGAACCCGAACGTTGCAAACGCCACACCGACACATCGCTAACATTAACCACCGCATCCACGTCTCGCAGATTATTTTTGCCCGATCTCGGGATCGCGCACCTTTCCTTGCACGCCCACTTTCCCCCAACGTCGAGCCATCGTTACTTACGTTATCCGCATCCGCATTCGGGGAATCTTTTCGACTTTCGGGCAACGTGAGAGCAACACCCCGTGCCATCTCGGATGCCATCGACTCCAACCGACGCAGTGTGAATCAAACCGCTCCAGCTCGAAGCATATGGCCCTGCGAAACCTGCACCGTTAAAACTTATCATCCGAACGCGGCGGGTTCTGTGGCGGGGGAACGAATCACGGCAGCGTTCCCGACCGATTTCGTCGTGGGAATCCCTTTTTGTTTTCCAACTTTCCAAGAGGAAGTTAAAAGACCGTTCCCATACTTCTCGCGCGAATTTTCTTTAACGCCTTCTTGTGTTTATTTTGACTACACGAATACTTATAATTACTTCATTAGTTTTTTATTACCTTAATTCGAACGAAAGAATTGCAAGAAGAGTCCCAACAGGTGGCACGCACGAAGCCGCCACCGTCCGAAAGTCGCCGGCGACGCCTTCAAATCCTTCAAGAAAGTGGAAAATGTCACATTTTGATTTTGTACCTCGCAGCCGAGGGCGTTCGAGGTTCGAGGTTCAAGGTTCAAGGTTCGAGTAGGGACGTCTTAGGCATTTCTGCCTAAGAGGTCATCCACGTGTTCGAGTGCAGCCTTCCAATCGTCCATATCCGTGAGATAGAGAGATGATACAGTACTTGTGTGGGAGCATATCCTCCTACTACCTAGTCGCTTGCTCCCTGTTCCGCTTCGTTCACGAAGGCATCTGACCTCTTTGAAGCCATTCGACACTACGACCGGTACGGTGAAGGGTTTCCGTGCGTTATTTCTGCGGCCGCGGACGTGGGTTCGTGTCTGTATTTTGCCTCGTGTCTCGTGCCTTTTGCCTCGGTCGGTGTTGCCACCTTCCCCTCTTGGGGGATTTTCAATCATAAATAATTAAAAGAAAAATCGAAGGTCCCAAGCCGCGAGCGAGCAACACGGCTGGATCCAGGAACGATCGCTTGCGTGCCGGTGAGAATCAAATATTAGAGGCGATGAACCATAGTGATTCCGAGGCGACGTAATACCGCACCCAAAAGTACTACGAAGGTAGGTGCAATTTTAAACCACTCTTACTAGAAAGCACTTCGTGTTACGAGCCCAATTTTATTGCGTAAGCACCGAGCGCACGCACGGGCACGGCCGTGCGTAGAACGTACCGAACGCGTTAAAGAAAGTCGCGGGACGGCCCTCATCACTCGACTACGCATTCCACGCGTTTTTACCCTACAAGTCTCTACTTGTCTCGACTGGGGTTTGCGCAACCCGAGTCGGTTCCAGTCGGTTCCAGCTCGTTTCGTTGCTGCAGTAACGGAACGAGAGGGCAGCAGGAACGTCGGCATGCCAACGAATCGGAAAAACCGAGCACCTTCCATTTCCTTTATGTTGCCGAATGCCTGAACGAGGTCCTCCCCCCCCCCTCTCTTCCCCCCCACCCTCGTCCTCCCCCTCATTAACGTTCTCTCGAGCGCGTGAAGTCCCGCGACGTCTAAACGCCGCTCGACTTTCCATCCTTCCATGTGTTTCCATGATTGTTGTAAACCGCCGCTGAACCCTCCCGAGCGCCGCTAGTACGCAGATATTTCCAGGCCTCCAAAATTGAACGCAATACTCGAGACGGGGTCTTACATGCGTCGCATGCAACTAAAGAATCACACACGAACTCTAATCGGCTAAGGGATGTCGGATTTCTGCGTAGAGTCCTCTTCCATTTCGTCGCTTTTGCGCCGGAGAATTCCAGTTCCTCGTCGTTAGTGTTCCCCTAATCTCTCTTTCCCCCCCTCCCTTCCCCCTCCCCCTCCCCCCCCTCCCCGTTCATCTTCACCGAAGTCATTGAGAGACCTATTCTTATTACGACTGATGTGAAGAACATTTATTACTCTTCTGAAACCTCGTGAATCATTTCTCACTCCAGTCATCCAAAAGCTGTAAATCCCCTTCTCACCCCCCCCCCCCCCCCCCCCACC